GGGTTTGACCCTCAACACGACAGGGTAAATGTAGTTTCTCTTTGTTCTATTCCTAAGCTATATCTACTAGTCTGGAGTTCATGCAGTAAGTTTTAACAGTTTTTATCTTACCCTTATGGCAAGAGGAATACGGAGCCAAGTCTCTCAAAAATAATTTTACCTTTTGCTGGAAAAAAGTAAACTCTAATTTAGTCAGATTAGGGATCCGTTATTTCATAACAATCTGGTTAAGTGGATACAAAGTCGTCCCTGAAAAATTCTTTTGCTGGAAGTTAAGAGTTGAATTTAATTTTCATAGCACGTTCTAAGTGCACCGATTGCTTGAAATGCAGGGATACATTTTCACACCCTCCATGCACCTTGGTGCAGCCATCAGAGCTGGCGGATTCTGGTGATGTTTTGCACATTCCAGACTTTGGTACTGTAATCAATTTTGGAGGAAATACGTTATGTCTGGATAGAAAGCTTAGTCTAGAATATATGGTTAAATTTGACGTATTTCTCTTGTTACTTAATCCAGGTAAAGATTTTTGTCCTCCCATATATCCTCTAGGGGACCAACAGGGGAACTTCAGTGCTGGGGTCCCCCTGATATCTCTCCATTCTCTTCAGCTCAAGCCTTCACCATCTCCACCAATTCTTGCCTCTACCACAGTTATCAATTGTCAGCCCCTTATGGTATTCATATACTATTCTAGATAACAACCTCATATTGTCTTTTTCTTTTGACTACCTGATGAACTTATGTTGTTCTTCTTGATTGGTTGTCAGCTTCATCTTCAGGAAGAATCATGTTTGAGGATATGTTCCTTTTTAGCAGATGGAGTTGTAGTGAATCCTGGAGTAGTTCTATCAGATTTCTCTATTAACTCCCTTACATTCAATCTTAAGGGGATAGATATTACTGTCCCATTAGACATGGGAACACCAAATCATACAGTTTCAGGTGAAAATAACACTTGTCAGAGTTTGTTTGGTGGGGCAAGACTTCATATTGAAGATTTCGTCCTTTCTGAGTCACCTGCTCTTAAGCTCGGGCTACTACACCTCGAGAAGGATCCGGCATGCTTCTGTCTATGGGAAGATCAACCAATTGATGGTAGCCAGAAGAAATTGAGTGCTGGTGCTTCAGTCATTAGTTTATCTCTACAAACATGTAATGATGCAACTGGACTCCAAAATTCTATTACATTATCTTCAAATTTATGGAGATGTGTTGAGCTGAAAGGTGCTTGCCTTGAAATAGCTATGGCTACTGCAGATGGAAGCCCTTTAACAAATGTCCCACCCCCTGGAGGAATTGTCAGAGTGGGAGTTGCCTGTCAGCAGTACCTCTCCAACACTTCGGTTGAGCAATTATTTTTTGTCCTAGATTTTTACACATATTTTGGGAGGATAAGCGAAAAGATGGCAGTAGTTGGGAGGATCAATTCGCACGAGGAAGTAAGTCAAAAATCTTCAGGTGGATCATTAGGTGAAAAAGTTCCCGGTGATGCTGCTGTAAGTTTAGCAGTGAATGATCTGCGTCTAAGATTTTTGGAGTCTTCTTCCACTGACATTTCAGGAATGCCTTTGGTTCAATTTATAGGCAAAGAGCTGTCCGTCAAAGTTACTCATAGAACCTTGGGTGGTGCTATAGCCATTTCATCAAGTTTGCTTTGGGAAAGTGTTGAAGTTGATTGTGCAGACACTCTGAGTAGCTTGCCATGTGAGAACGGCTTGGCATGGACTTCAAACCAAAATGGCCAGTTGATGGGGAATGGATGTCAACTTAGATCTGTCTTTTGGGTGCAAAACAGGAAGATCCATCAATCAAATGGAAACTTTGTTTTAGTTCCCTTCTTGGACATAAAAATGGTACAGGTGATTCCATATAAAACACAGGACATGGAGTGTCACAGTCTAAATGTTTCAGCTTGTATTGCTGGTGTCCGCCTTGGAGGAGGAATGAATTACACAGAAGCCTTACTTCACAGGTTTGGAATTCTTGGGCCAGATGGTGGTCCTGGGGAAGGGCTTACTAAAGGTTTGGAGCATTTGTCTGCTGGGCCTTTGTCTAAACTTTTGAAAGCAACACCTCCTACCATCAATGAGCTTGAAGACGGTTAGACTCTTCAACTTATGATGTTATATACTCCTGCCATCCGAATTCGGTTGTGCACTTTTGGTTTGGCATGATCATTAAGAGAAGAGTTGAAAATATGAGCTTTTTAGTACTTGCGAGGAAACATGTGGAGCCATAGTTTGAATTTTATGCTTCAAAAGAATAAATTAGAGGAAAAAATGATATGTAAAAGAGTATAGGTGGTCCAAAATTCTGTCTTATTTTGAATGTGAAGTGTTTTTGAACAACTTACAAATAAGGCACAGGCAATTCGAGATGGATGAGTATTCATTTTCTTTGTCGTCTATGTGTTCAGTGATTAACTTTGCTTGTGATCTTTTTGTTCGATGGTCATCTCATTTCTTCATGCTTTTCTTCTTTCCAGATGGAAAGGACACTGGAAGATTACAGTTGGAAACACCTGATGATGTGGACATATCCATCGAATTCAAAGATTGGTTATTTGCTCTGGAAGGTGCACAAGAAGCAGCAGGAAAGTGGTGGTTCTGTGATCATGAAGATTCCATCACAGAAGAGAGGTGTTGGCACACAACTTTCCACAACATTTGTGTCAAAGCAAGCAGCTCTAAGCATGTAACAGATGGCAGCATAAAATTGTCTGGCAAGAAAAGATACCCCCTCGAGTTGGTTACTGTAAGCACTATATTCTTATTGTGCAATATAATTGCCTCTGTGGAAATTGATAAAACTTGACTCGTGTTATAAGGTACTTTATATCTTGCAGGGTAGCTTTTGTTTTGAGCAGTTATTGCATGTTGAGATTTTTGACAGTAGCTGTAAAACAATGCTTAGACAAGAAACATGGCAGTAATTATTTCATAGTTTTGCACCTATCTTTATAGCTTCAGAGGTTCCAAATACTTCTTAGGTTTTTTTTATGTTTGGGTTACTTTTGTCAGTTGTGGCCCTTGTCTCTTGAGGTGAGCACATGAACAGATTACTATGTTACCTTGGTTTTATGCAAATAACTAATTGCTGTTGTTCTCTTTTTCACAATCATTTTCGATTCATGGAGCATTTTTAGACAAGTAACAAGTCTAGGAACTGTTGCAGGTTGGTGTGGAAGGTCTGCAGATCTTAAAACCGCGCTCTCGACAGAGTATCCTGCGAGATGTTAGTCCTGCAGGACCTATTAAAGAGACTGCTGAGACATTTGGTGGTATGAACATCGAAGTAGACATAGTGAATGCCGAAGACAATATTGATGATGGAATGGGAAAGTGGATTGTCGAAAAGTTGAAATTCTCTGTCAAACAGCCGGTACGAAGATTTTGTGAGTTTGTCCTTTGATTTTTATCTCCCTGCTCTGTCTATGTATTAAGTATGTTGTATTTGGCAGATTGAGGCAGTGGTGACGAAGGCTGAGCTCCAGTACCTTGCTTTCTTGTGCAAGTCTGAGGTTGACTCTATGGGTCGGATTGCTGCTGGAATCCTGCGTGTACTTAAGTTAGAAGGTTCTATCGGCCCAGGAGCAATCCGTCAACTCAGTAACTTAGGTAAGTTTTGCATCTTATTTGAAACTTTGTTTTCACCATATATCTCTTCATTCTGTAGTCTGAGATTCTAAACCTAAATGTCCTAAGTTTACTGAATCAGTAGCACTTATCCTTATAATTGCTAAAATATAAGTCTCTGCCGTAAAATAGCTGAGCTCGGCTCCAAAAACCTTCAACGAAGAGCAAGGCCATGTTTGTAGGATAGCGCATATTAGACATTTAGTAAATGATGCTATCTCATGGCCTTGTTCTGGACTTGTCAGATTAACTGTTCTAATGCTTTGTATTTTGGTTGATGATTTAGTGACTTGGACCAATGAATTCTTGCAGGAAGTGAAAGCTTCGATAGAATATTTACCCCTGAAAAACTCAGCAGGGATAGTAGCAGCAGTAGTATAGGACTAAGTCCGTCGTCAAATTTAACTGGTGGAAGCCGGAACTCATGTATAGAGTCAACAGTAGCTTCTGTTGAAGAGTTAATCAAGGAATCACAGATCAAATGTGCTGCTCTAAGTGTTGAACTAGGTAGTTCTACATCTTCTATTGATGATTTTAAAGAGCTGAGTCAGAAACTGGAGAATATGCAGAAACTATTGATGCGATTGCGAACTCAAGTTTGATTCAATTCTCCTCTCCCAAAGTTCTCTCTATTGTATGTTGTTTTTCTATAGTTCAAGTTTCATACAGGTTAGCCATTCTTTGTTGTAGATATGTACTATCCGAAATATGTTGAGCATGTAGCACAGCGAGAAATGTGAAAAAAGAAGCCGCGGTTGCATAGAAAATTTTGTATTGATGTATGATCGAATCCATCACCCATTTATATAAGGGTGTATTTATATTTTATTGTTGTATTTTGCCATCAGTAAATGCAAGATCGTTATGTTGGCCACATTGAGCATCATTGATTTTCCTTTGCTACAATAATTTTGTTTTGGGTAATCGAGAAATGCCCAGATTGATTTTGCTTTGCTACATCATTTTTTTTTTTGGATAATCGTGCCATACAGTTGGACATTAGATGGATAATGAGTCCATCTTTAAAGTTTTTGTCTGTGATAGAGTTCAATATCATGACATGCATCTAATGCACACATAATATGCACTTTTACCAATAGACCAAAATCCTGGTACCCCCTTTGCTGCAATAACTTGGATTTTCATCATTAAAGAGTAAAGTCGTTCTTTAACAGACAGAACAACATGCGCAAGACAAGTAAAGATTTTCAATTTATAAGCCCATCATATTCACACATCACAATTACGGTTGGTGTCCTAACTTAAAGCTAGCCCATTAAGCAAGGGTGAGCCGATACAAATATGTCTAGTACATACGCAAACATAGATGCGACTTCTAAAATTTCTTTTAGCAACGCATCAGACAGAAAAACTGGAAAAAGCCTATCAGAAGAGAGCGCCAATTCAGACAACAAACTAAGACTAGTATCACCTAATTAGCAAACAAATCTCAGAACTTTCCACTCAAGGCAACACTGAATTTTTGCCACTACAAAAATTAACAACTACATCCATCTTCAGCAGTAAAAGTACAAGTTAATTCACTAGTACATTTAGTTAGTTTCACAAGAAAGAGGTTAGAGATAAACTTAAGTAGCATTTGGCAGGTTTGCTTGCATGTTAGATATGTTCTGGATCCTTCAAGTACCATATTCAATAAAAGTCTCCCGTCACTGTCGATTGTCTTTGGCAGCTGCTGTGAATTCAAACATTAAGACAGATGTCCTGCTCAAACCCCTAATGAAAAGCTCAAGAAGTTGCTACCACATCCCAGCGCCATATAGTCCCATCTTCACAGCAGCTAAGTATGGTGCTGAAGAGAAAAGACATTGATTAATTAATGCACAGATTGCGAAAGAACATACAGAAGAAGCAATTAAAGTGTTCTTGGATATTAACCTCCCATCAAAAGACATGGCAGTCTGTCTAATTGGAGATTTAGATTGAACATGAGATAACCTGCAAAAATGAAGCACAAACACTTATAATCCAAATCATAAATGAGAAGGATCAGAAACTAGGTAGGGGTGCATGGATGGAGATCAACCTTGCAATCATAGCTGGTGGACTGGTTTGTAGTTCCCAGACAAAGATCTTGCCTTCCCTATTCCCTGTTAAATGTAAGGCTCAAAGGGTTCATTCCAGTACAAGCTTGGAAGGAAACTTGAAAGGAGAAACATAGCATGCATGCAGACCGCGCATATGTAGTTTTCGCGTTGTATTTTATTCTCAAATTTTCATAATCTTGATTCCAGATGGTCACAAGTTACTAATCACCAACCTCAGCAACAACATGGTGTTGCACGAGCAGTAAATTCTTTAGTAGAAACAATGATGACAAACGCTCATTAAGTCGGGACATGCAATATTTTGATTAACACTTCGTATTACCTATAGCTGCTGCTTTGTAGTGGAAATCACATGAAAACTTGATGAACCAAATATCACACTCTGGGACAGGATACTTTTGAAGGATGTCAACTGTGCCCTAAAATTAGAGCAATATACATTAGGAAGTTTAGTGTCAATGTTTAATATAGTTATCAAAAAGAGATTCCAGGATCATGATTTCTAACCTCTCCAGGAGACTGTTCTTTCATCTTTGGTTCCCATAATACAATTTCATTGTCAACACTCTGAGTTCCGACAAATTTAATGGATCAGTACAGGTAAAAATATGACAACAATATATAAAAAAAAAGAGAACATATCACAAACAATTAACATATCATTTCCAACTTGAGGTAGACATCTCGGAGGTTAAAAAAAAGCAATTCAAGCTAGTCTTTGATTTTACAGAGGTTCTCAGGTTTTCCGATTTTCCCTCTCTTGATAAGGGGAAAGGAAGCTAATGCCAATCAAGAATTCATATAGCAGAACAGTTAGAGAAAAGAAAGAAAGAACTCAGGTCACGAGCAGGTCATGCTATTCACCTTGGACAAGATAAAATCACCAAGCCATCTGGTACAGTCAACATAGTTGGAATGAACTGATGCGATGAATATCTGAAATGATAAAGAGGGGGTTACAGCAAGCAAAAGTTACCCAACAAAACTTTCAGAAGAAAAAAAAAGCGGAGAAGGTGAGAAGCTACAAGAAGAATACTCACTGGAAACTGTACATATTTTGTGGGAAACTTGGAAGGAAGATCAGTCCAAGTAAACGATTTCTCCACATATGTCCAGAACTCTGCAACAAGAAGGTCATCATCAGAAAAGAATTGCTAGCTTAAATTGATGTTACATTTTAGTTTTCAAATTCGAAACCACTGAGCATCAATGGAATAGATGATGCAGTACAAATCTGATCCACAACCAACTCTGTATCCTCCTACCAGGAACAGTAGAGTATTTGCTGATACATATGACCATATATGGGTAGTAAAGTAGTCTAGGTGACAAGCATTCTCAACACCAGAATATGCAATGTCTAGGAGAACTGCATGCTGACTCATATTTCCTTCTAGGTAGTTGGTGCATTTCTTGGTGCATTTATAACAAGCAAATCTTTGACTTATTGACATCATTTTCACACTTGTGACAGAAATATCCTCATGGAAATATCTCTTAATAAATTCAACGTATTCTATACTATACATTGGGGTACAAGTCATTAGTTTAGCACCTCCCAGAAGTCGTGCCAGGATCAGAGAATATAGGCGACATCATCAAATTGGGAAAAAGTACAGGAACACATCAACAACAATATTAATACCATTAGGAAGGTTCAGGACAAACCTTGAGAACAAAAACAATCACAAGTTGTTCCTCTAGAGATCACTCTTTTTTTTTCTTTTTCAATGTTCTAGTAGGTGATGACATTCCTTTAGTCGTATATCATATGTCATTTCAACAATCTATAGGAAAATGAAAATGACCACATATTTACCTTTCATTGACCAGATCTTAACAGTATTATCCATTCCACAGCTAGCAATACGATATATGTCAGAAGGATGGAAGTCCTACAACCATCAAAACCAGCTGATATGCTCAACATCCTAGTTCACAGTATTCTTGACAATAGATGCGAAAGACGTTACTTTGTTACCAGCTCCATCCTTGGAGTGGGACTGCAGTAAATACAATAACTTACCACACTGAGTACTTCATTCCGGTGACCCCCAGCACCAGCAAATATCAAAATGCATATTCCAGTATGAACATTCCACAAGCGAACAGATTCATCCTGGCCAAATCTCGATGATTAAAATATGCCATATGAAACAGTTCCAAAATTGATCTTTATTCTACATGCATCTTGCAACAGTGCAAGAAGTAACCCATTTAAGAGAAACAAAATTTCCTCGTGGAAGAAGAAATAAGACAAAAAGAAGGATACTTGAGGTACATACTTTGCTGGCAGATACTACAAGAGATGGTTTCAGGACTTGAGTCCTAATTTCATTTATTGAGTCTCCATGTCCCACAAAGCTCTGTTCAATCATAAACAAGTGGGTGGAAAAAGGTGAATAGACATATGCTATTAAGTTAACATGTAACTAGTTTCAAAAGCATCTTAATTTTTCAAACTTGTATTGTTTTGACTGGATATCACTTAACATGGATTGAATCATGGAGGAAAACTTAACTTGCTTATATCACAATGGGAGGACAATGGGAAGCGACTCAGAGCATTTCCCGGTTGTTATGGGGTTATACCAAGAATCTGCGCTCAGCCCGTTCTTATTTGCCCTGGTGATGGACGCACTAACACACCATATTCAAGGGGAGGTTTCATGGTGTATGTTATTCGCTGATGACATAGTTCTGACTGATGAGACGCGAGGCGGTGTTAACAACAGGTTGGGGGTTTGGAAATATACCCTTGAGTCTAAGGGTTTCAAGTTGAGCAGGACTAAGACAGAGTATCTGGAGTGCAAGTTCAGCGTCGAGTCGGGGGAAGTGGGCATGGACGTGAGGCTTGGATCACAGGTCATCCCCAAGAGAAGTAGTTTTAAGTACCTGGGGTCAATTATCCAGGGGAACGGAGAGATTAACAAGGACGTCACACACCGTATAGGGGTGGGGTGGATAAAACGGAGTTAGCATCAGGAGTCCTGTGTGAAAAGAAAGTACCACCGTTACTCAAAGGTAAGTTCTATAGAGCTGTGGTTAGACTGGCTATGTTGTATTGGGCAGAGTGTTGGCCGGTTAAGAACTCTCATATCCAGAAGATGAAAGTGGTAGAAATGAGGATGTTAAGGTGGATGTGCGGCCATACTAGGATGGATAAGATTAGGAATGAAGTTATTAGGGAGAAGGTAGGGTGTGGCTCCTATGGATGACAAGATGCGGGAAGCGAAGCTCAGATAGTTCGGGCACGTGCGGAGGAGGAGCCATGATGCTCCGGTGAAGAGGTGTGAGAGTTTGGCCTTGGCGGGTTCGAGAAGAGGTAGAGGGCGCCTAAGAAGTATTGGGGAGAGGTGATTAGACAGGACATGGTGTTGCTCCAGATTTCCGAGGACATGACCCTTGTTAGGAAGGTGTGGAGGTCGAGCATTAGGGTTGTAGGTTAGGACGTAGTCGAGCCCAGGGTGTAGTGTTTTTGATAGCGCGAAGCGCAAAAAAGCGACAGGGGCTCGCCTCGCTTCAAAAGCGAAGCGCACGGTTCATTGAAGTGAAGCGCAATTCTTAAAATACATATAATATATATAATAATATACTCCCTCCGTTCCAATTTATGTGAACCTGTTTGACTAGGCACGGAGTTTAAGAAAAAATGAAGACTTGGAATTTGTGTACCTAAACAAGTCAAAAAGGGGCCCAAAGTATTTGTGTGGTTATAAAAGCTTCTCATTAAGGGTAGAATTGTAAGTTTAAGCTAATTTGTTACCAAATTTAGAAAGGGGTCATTCTTTCTGGAGCGGACCAAAAAGGAAATAGGTTCACATAAACTGGAACAAAGGGAGTATATAATAATTAATTTATAAACTGAAATACATATTAAAAAAAATCAAATAAACTAAAATATAACACACACAGACACACACACACACACACACACACACACACACACACACACACACATATATATATATATATATATATATATATATAATAATTAATTTTCTAAACTGAAATACATTTTACAATTAATCAAACTGAAAATATAACATATATATATAATAATTAATTTATAAAGTGAAATACACATTAAAAAAATCAAATAAACTACTCCCTCCGTTCCAATTTAAGTGAACTTGTTTGAATGGGCACGAAGTTTAAGAAAAAATGAAGACTTTTGGAATTTGTGGTCCTAAACAAGTCAAAAAGGGCCCAGAGTATTTGTGTGGTTATAAAAGTTTTTCATTAAGGGTAGAATTGTAAGTTTAAGCTAAATTGTTACCAAATTTAGAAAGGAGTCATTCTTTTTTGAACGGACCAAAAAGGAAATAGGTTCACATAAACTGGAACAGAGGGAGTAAAGGGGGGAAAAAAGAAAACAGCGTCTGCCCTAGCTGTGCAGACGCTGGACGAGAAAAAGTGAAAAAGAGAAGAGAAGAAGAAGAAGGAAGAAAGAAGGAAAAAGAAAGAAAAAAGGGAGAATCTGGACAAGAAGAAGAAAGAAAGAAGAAAGAAAAAATAAGAAGGAGAAGAAGAATTTACCTGGACCGGAGAAATGGCAAAAACCCTAGTTTTGCGATGAAGATGAGAGAAGGCGTCTGTTTACACTATGTTTTGTCGAGGATCTGTAATAGCGAGCTTAGGGGTCTGTTTTGTATAATTTACAAACAGACCCAATCTTTTTTTTTTAAAAGGCCCAGCTGCGAATTTTTAACAGAAGTGATCGCTTTACTCGCTTCGTCACCCCGTCGCCTTGTCGCTTTTTTCACTGAAGCGTGCGCTTCACACGATCGCGTCGCCGCCTCAGGCAGTAAAAAGCAATGCCTTGTCGCTTCGCGCTTAAAGCGACGAAGCGATTGCTTTTCCAAACACTGCCAGGGTGAAGCTAGTTCGATAGGGTTGGCCTTAGACTGCTAGTGGTTAATGTTGTGTTCACACTATCCTTCCGTATTTCATAGCATCGGGGCTTATTTTCTAATTTTGTTATTGGATTTCAACTATTTTCTAGTTCCTATGATGTTGTTATTATTCATTTGGTTTCTATTTGATGGTACTAATATATTGTCTCTTCTCTTCTCTTCTCGTCTTTTCCGTCTTCTTAAGTCGAGGGTCTTTCGGAAACAACCTCTCTACTCCTTCGGGGTAAGGGTAAAGTCTGCGTACACACTACCCTATTTTACTGGGTCGTTGTGGTTGCTGTTGTTGTATCACAATGAATAAGATGGATTGGATCATGGAGGAGAAGAAATATATTACTAGTCAGATAAAAATTAATTAGATGGATGTTATGATCATTTGCAGAAATTCACTCTAAAATTAAACAAGCAGCTAGTCTTCTTTAACCATGTAAACGTGCAAGCCAGAGTTTCATGTACAAGACCTTGTGTATCTTCTCATTGCCAGCATCAATAACACGGAGAATTCCATTTATTCCTCCAGCCACTATGAATGGACTCCCATCAATATTGCAAGCCCAACTTACAGTGTAAAAGGATTCATCTTTCTGATCTACAAAGCACATGGAAAGGCCAAAAGCTTTTTAAGCATACAAATCACATATGTAAAGTATAAATGCAGCAATAGAGAACTTGCAACTTCTTACATCTTCATCAATATAAGACTGCAGCACAGCAATAACACCACCTTCCAGACATTGGTAAACAGTCACCTGACAAGCCAACAGAAAAATTGAAGACTTGAGTCTGAGCTATCACTATTGGCATACAATGGATAAATATCATGAAGCTAGCACTCCTATTCTTCTATTATTGTTTATCTTCTTTCAATTTCCCTAATTTTTAACAATTCTCAGATGGCATAATCTACACTAAGAAAAGACACCCCATTTACACGAGCATGCAGCCTCTCCAAATTCTGAATTTATTTTAAGCAATAAAAGATTGCTTCATGCATAACTCTCAAGTTGAACAGAAATACAACAAGTTTTATAATTCCATCATTCTCACGTTGATAAGAAATTATACAAGATTTCTAGATTACAGGCAATTTTAATAATCATTATCTTTGGCATGAACAAAGGGGTTATATTAGAAAGGTAAAGCACTAGGAAAATATTTGCAATCGGTAAAACATGTGGTACTCTGCAAATATGGAGATACAAAAGAACCAATCAACAGTTACTGTGTATAAGGTAAGCATGAGCTAAAAGCAGGCATAACAATCCTAAGTAAATAAGAAGGTTTCAGCAATGAGTTTAACATTTTTGCTTCTAAGCATTAAAAAATGAATGTGTGGGGGGAGGTTGGGGTCCTCCATTCTCGAGCCTTCAATATTAAAGTAACTTGCAGAGAAACATCTGGCACATTTAATTGAAATGAAAAAGAGAGAGCATTATTGAACTTGAGGTTTTAACAAATAGGCAAAATGACCAAGATGGAAAAAAGATTGATGCTTTTCTATCTAAACATTGCACCTTCTCCCACATAACAGTCAACAAGTAGTAAAGGCCGAAGCACACTCATTAGTTTTCATGTACTTCTCATCCCTAAGGGAAAAGAAGAAGGTGAGTTAAATCCTAAATAATTTTCCAGCAACACAATAGGCTTCAATACCAAACTAGTGGGATTCAACTATAAGAATGATCTATATCCAATGGGGTATTCAATTACTCGTAAAAGATTCGGCTTTAAGGAAAATTAGGGCTTATTTAACTACACCGCTGAGCAGAGAAAAACAAAATAGGAGGTTACCCAAAAAGATAAGAGAAACAAAAAGAGAAGAAGAGAGGAAGAGGAATAGTACTCTATTTCCGCCGACGGTAGCAAAGACATTGAAGTAGCGAGAGTCGATGAAGTTGAAGACGACGGCGTATAACGGACGTTTGCCTTCTTGGAGTCTGTTAGTGACTCTGTACTCTTTTTTCTTTGACGGCGTTAACGATCCCACCACCGGCTCGCACCCTATGGGTATCCTCGCCATCACTCCTCAACTCAGTCGTCAGTGAGCCTTTGTGAGTAGTAAAAACCACGTTTTTGTGTTTCCGCCAGACACGGCGCACCAACACTTCCTTTTCTTCTTACAACAATTATACCCCTGTCGCTGGGCGTCCACTATTTTCCTTGGAAGAATGAGGTAAAAAAAAGACTTTTGAAGTTTTGTGTAAGAATATAGATTAACAAAAAATGTGTAATTAAAGAGGTTTGGGGTCAGATCAAATATAATAAGAATTATGGGTAAATATTAAAATTTTCTAAAATTTTAAAAATCACCCATTCAAATTATTTCAAATATTTATTTCCCTCTTCTTTCTCTTCTTTACTTCTTCTTCTCCTTCTTTCATCTTTCTTCTTTCTTCTTTTTCTTCCTCATTCTTTGCCCTTTCTTTCTTCTTTCTCTGCAACTTTCGTTGATGTTGTTGCTGCTGGTTCGTGCATGTCATCTTCTTCTTCATTTTCTTTTTTCCCTTTTCATCTCATTTTCACCTTTTCTTCTTTGTTCATTTTTTCTTTTCTTCTAGTAGTTTAAAATATACGAGAGAAAGAGAAAAATATGAAAATTTACAAAGTAAGTATTTTTTAAAATGCCCTCAATATATTTTGAGACATCCCCATAAATGAGTATTCTGCTGAAATATCCCCGGGGATATTTGAAACATCTCCCGGGATGTTTCAAACATCTCGGGAGATTCTTCTGCTTCTTTCTTATTTTCTAGTATTGTTCTCATTGATCTTTTTTCCACGGACGTTTCAAACGTCCTTACAGATGTGTGCAAATGTTTGAAATATCTCAGTAGATGTTTGAAATATTTCTCTAGATATTTGAAACATCTTTCGTAAATGTTTGAGAATTAGGAGTGGCGGAGGATAGAGAGGAGTGTTGCGAGATGGAGGAACAAGGGGAGGAGGATGGGGGGGGGGGGGGGGGTAAAGTGGGGAGGAGGGGGAGGAGGAATAGGGGGTGGAGGAGGAGGGGGACTTTTTGTAAATAAGAAAACTTTAGAATTTTTAAAAATTATACGGAAAAGGCCTAAAAATGTCACTCAACTTTCAGAAATGGTTTATCCATGCCATCCGTTAAAAAATTGTTATTTCCATGCAACTGCCGTTAAAGAAATGACTCATCCATGCCATTATTAACTAACCGCTCAATTTTTATTTGGCCCATCCATGCCACTGCCATTAGTCAATAATGGCATGGATGGGCCATTTCTTTAACGGCAGTGGCATGAAATGAGCTATTTTTTTAACGGATGGCATGGATAGACCATTTCTGAAAGTTGAGTGGCATTTTTAGGCTTTTTCATTAACCCTAATCACAAAAGTGTCTCTTCTACCTCTTTCTTAACACTTTTATCTTAAAAATTGATATAAGTTTTGAAGTGTCTTAAAAATTTAATTCCCCCCTCCTTCCTTCGTTAGTCTTTTAATGGAAGTAGTAAATCTTTATTTGATTGTCAAAAATCACTTATCGAAAAATCCAAATCATACAAGTTCTTTACTTGTTATCCAAAAGCAATTCCTAATT